CCGCGCCGCCCGGAGCCTCCGCCGTCGTCGCCGGTCGCCGTCTGCCGCTCCGGCCAGCCTCCTCCTCTCCTCCGGCAAGTCCCCGGTGAGCTCCGGCGCCGACTCCATCGAACCTCGATCCGCGTGCCGCCCGATCCAGATCTGGATCCAAAACCCTAGGGTTGACTTTTGCCCCGCTCCAGTAATTTTTAGCGTTTTTTATCGCATCATAACTTTGCACCCGTGGCTCCGTTTTGGCGTGTATCATATCAAATTGTTCGCCTCGACGAGTACTTCATTTCATTCCATTGCACCATGTTCATTTGAGCTCATCTTGATGCCCTAAATGTTGTTGCAAGAGTGCTATGCAATGTTAGTTTCAGGTTCTTATCAGTAATTGGACATTTGTCATTTTTGCCATGATTGATGTGTGCCTCCTATGAACTTGAGCCCTACATGTGATTTGAAGTATGTCATGCCATCTTTACAGGGGTTTATGCCATGTATTTTTGTGATCCTTGTGGTGACTAGCACAAGCATGCAAAGTAGCTCTCGTTATGTTGCTGATTTCAGGGACTTAGAAATCTTCTAAGTCATTTTCCTGATTATATTTTTATGCCATGTATTCTTGTTGCTACAGAGTGATCCATGCCTCTTTTGAGCATGATCAGTAAGGATGTTTTGGAGATAATGGTGTGCTCTATCCATCCATGTCTTTGTTTGTAATTATGGAGCACCCTAGCTTGACTCAATCAAGCTCTACTTTTGCTACAAAATGTTCCGGGCAGATTTTTTACATGTTAAGCAATTTTGTCGAGGTTGTTGTAGTTGATCCGTGCATGCTATGAGTGTGTTCTTGCCATGTTTAACTTCTATACCATGTCTACTTGCTGGGTGTATGCTTATTTTGTCATGCAATGCCTTGTGGTGAGTGCATCGAGCTCGTAAACATGCCTACTTGATATTTGTTTTGCCAAGTTCCAATTTTCTACTAAGTCTGAAGCTGTTAACGAAAGTTGCTATGTTCACATGGTTGCCATTGTATTTTCTGTTCCCTTTTGGCTTATGGTCAGTAAGGGACTTTTGCTGTATGCTTTGAGGATCTTCATGCCATGCTTTGCTTTGCCATGTTATGTTCCTATAGCATGTTGTTATCGTGCTCTAAACATTGCTTCCTAATGTTAAATTCCTGACATGTTGTTAATTTCACTAAGTCTGTAACCTGATATCTTTTGCACTTTTTCCGTGCTTGTTTGAACATGCTATTGAGTGAATTAGCTGTAGCTCAGTGTTCATATTTTGTCAAGTATCTTGAGTGGATCCCTGCCATGTGCTTTGTTGTTATGATAGAGTGCAGTAGCTTGTTGTTCTTGATGCATTTAGATGGCCTCGTGCTGTTAATCGCAGCTTCGATGCCATATTTGTTTTGCTTGCCATTTGCAAACCGTGCATCCGATTCCGGTGATCTTTATATCGATTTCAACTGAAATCAACTCCTCTTTCCAGTGGCACTCTTGGTTTTCCAAGTTGAGGCCAGGTTCAATCTTTCCTTTCCGAAACATGCATATGCATCGCATATCACAACCCGCATATCATGCCATGTTTTGCATCATGTTGCTTGTGCATTGCACGTGTTTGATTGTGTCTCCCTTTGCTTGTGTTCTTGCTTTGGGTAGATCCGGGAGACGGGTACGTGATCGAGGAACCCATTGAGTACGCTTACGAGGATCAAGCTAACATCAACTTGGAGAACTTTGCAGGCAAGATGACCATACCCTCGAAATCACTTCTATCTTTGCATGCTAGATGCTCGCTCTTTCGCTATGACTATGCTATGATACCTACCACTTGCTTATCATGCCTTCCATATTGCCATGTCAAACCACTAACCCACCTTGTCATAGCAAACCGTTGTTTGGCTATGTTACCGCTTTGCTCAGCCCCTCTTATGGCGTTGCTAGTTGCAGGTGAAGATTGGAGTTTGTTCCTTGTTGGAACATGTTTATTGTTGGGATATCATTATTATATCTTGTCTATTTTAATGCATCTATACACTTGGTAAAGGGTGGAAGGCTCGGCCTTATGCCTGGTGTTTTGTTCCACTCTTGTCGCCCTAGTTTCCATCATACCGGTGTTTTGTTCCTTGATTTTGCGTTCCTTACACGGTTGGGTTATAATGGGAACCCCTTGACAGTTCGCCTTGAATAAAACTCCTCCAGCAAGGCCCAACCTTGGTTTTACCATTAGCCACCTAGCCTCTTTTTCCCTTGGGTTCCACAGACTCAAGTGTCATCTTTATTTTAAACCCCCGGGCCAGTGCTCCTCTGAGTGTTGGTCCAAAACAAAGCCACTTGCAGCGCCACCTCGGGGAAACTTGAGTGTTGGTTTTAGTTGTACGTAGTGTTCATCCGGTGTGCCCTGAGAACGAGATATGTGCAGCTCCTATCGAGATTTGCCGGCACAGCGGGTGGTCTTGCTGGACTTGTTTTACCATTGTCAAGATGTCTTGTAACTGGGATTCCGAGTCTGATCAGATTGTCTTGGGAGAAGGAATATCCTTCATTGGTCGTGAGAGCTTGTGATGGGCTAAGTTGGGACACCCCTGCAGGGTTTTGAACTTTCGAAAGCCATGCCCGCGGTTATGGGCAGATGGGAATTTGTTAATGTCTGGTTGTAGATAACCTGGAACTTAACTTAATTAAAATGAATCGATAGAGTGTGTGGCCGTGATGGTCTCTTTTCGGCGGAGTCCGGGAAGAGAACATGGTCTCGTGTTATGCTTGAACGTAGGTTGTTCTAGGATCACTTCTTGATCATAGTTTATCGATCGTGCCTTTATCTTCTCTTCTACCTCTCATTTGCGTATGTTAGCCACCATATATTCTAGTGCTTGTTGTAGCTCCACCTCTTACCTTTAACCTACCTATAAGCTTGAATAGTCTTGATCGCGAGGGTGTGAGATTGCTGAGTCCCCGTGACTCACGGATTACTTACAAAACCAGATGCAGGGATCGATGATACTGCTCCAGGAGAGTCGACTGAGCTCAAGTGGGAGTTCGATGAGGACTCAGGACGATACTACGTTTCCTTTCCAGACGATCAGTAGTGGTGCCCAGTTGGGGCGATTGGGGACTTTGTTGCATTTAGGGTTGTCTTTATTTTGGTTCCGTATTTGGACCTTGATTGTATCTGGATGAATGTAATGATATTTATGCTATTGTGTGACATGGCGAGTGTAAGCCAACTATGTACCTCTTTTCCTTATTCATTACATGGGTTGTGTGAAGATTACCCCACTTGCGACATTGCTTACAATGCGGTTATGCCTCTAAGTCGTGCTTTGACACATGGGAGATATAGCCGCATCGTGGGCGTCACATTATAGCAAGTATAATAAGGTACAGTCAGCAGGCTGTAAGGATTAAAATATCGTATGTTTGCTAAGTTGGATGAGAGAGAAGAGGAGAGAGAAGGGAAGCGGGCTGCAGATTAAGAGCCGGTTGCAGCACCTGCTCCAAGAAACAATGTGAGATTGTAGGATGGGCCATCTATTAATGAAGTAGTAGTATTTTGTAAATTGCTACTATACATGTTGGCTATTAGGTTGGCTATAGATGATGTGGCAACTTCATATAGCTGATTGTTGGCTATACTATTAGACTGGCCACAGTGGGAGTAACATCACTAGTAACATCACATTTTTCAAGATAATTTTGCTTATGTGGCACATATTTAATGATGACAGAGGTGATGGTGGTAACTTAGCTAGTTACTGTAACATCACACATACCAAGACAATATGAGTCTATAGGCTAATAAATGAACCATAACATGACAACACACATATGTTACTACCCATTGTGGAGGTAGTAACATAGCCTAGTAAAATGTGATGTTACTATTCTAAGTTACTCCCCATTGTGACTAGTCTTAACCATGCTCTTAGGGAGGCGGAACCCGGCATTGCATGCAATTACTATGCATTATTGCATCGCTAGAAAACCATGCTTGATTTCTGCCTTGGTACGAGCGTTTTTGTCGGGCGGCCTAGTAAACCCGGAGGGAGGTAGTAAGTGAGTTGTATCCTTATAGATATGTACATGATGTACCCCACCATGTAATTCCGAGGAAGTTGAGTGATTTCTGCTTCTCCTTTTCATTCAACTTCTTTCAATGTGTTGTACAAATTAATATACCTCTCAAGTCATTTTATAAATGTTATATTGATTGTCTTTTAGTTTTACTAGGTTTTACCCATCCCACGTACACAACCCACGTTCCTATCGCCAGACGTAGTCACTGTAAAACTCTCTCACGAACAAACGCAGAAGCAACACCTCATTACCTGGCCCCACACCTAGCGAGGTCCACCCACCACGACTCATCTAACTGCAGCTGACATGCAAAACAACGAACGGTTGACTAGGTGCCAGCGTAAAAATTATCGAATGGTGAAAAAAATCAAGTGGTCCACGAGCGCTAGCGTGTGCAATGCCTCTAGAATGGGGGGTTGCATAGGGTCATTTATATGTTCGATTAGGCGCATAGTCTCAAAAGATAGTTGGTCAATTTGTGGTAGGGGCAGAAGTGGGAAGATTTTTGGATACCTCCTTTTGTTGAAGTAAAGCTTCTGTGTGTACTAAGAGCTAAGTTGCAACTCACATATATTTTTGTAGGAGTTCACAACTGGTTGCTTGATTAAGTTGAAGTAGAACTAGCCATTATAGGAAGTAAAGCTATGAGCGCCTTTCTTCTTTTATTAACGGCCAATTGTTTTATTACTTTGTGCAAGAAATCGAATTTCATAGCGGTTTTATATTATTGAATGCAGACTTCCAGTTTAACTTTTTAGCAGGCTTTTGTTTTATGTCAATCTAGCATGGTTGTATCTTGTTCACTTCATTACGAGTTTCTGACTATCTACTTGTTCATGTTTAGATGGATGAGCTGCTGTCAGGGGTGGCTGAAACCATCAAGAACTTTGCCATGATCTACCTTGTAGGCATCACCAAGGTTCCTGACTTCAACCCCATGTACGAGTTGTACGACCTGTCAATGGTGATGTTCCTCTTCTGCAACAAGCACATCATGATTGATCTTGGTACAGGAAACAACAACAAGATCAACTAGGCAAGGAAACACAAGCAAGAGTTTGTTGACATCGTGGAGGTTGTCTATAGAGGAGCTCGTAAGGGCCGTGGTATGTTGATTGCTCCCAAGGATTACCCACCAAATACACATACGGAGGTATCTGTGCATGTCTCTTCATGTGCAGTATTTCAGTGTGTGGCCTTCTCCGTCATGTGAAATGCCAGTACTTGCACTCTGACCCTTGATGTAATGTCTGTCAACTTTTCGAGTCTCGCATAACTTTTTATCTGTATTTTGAATATTGACACGTCATAAACCTACAACACTTTGAAACAGAACCTGCTGTCTACTGGTATGGCTAATAAAACAGATGTTTGGTTTGAACTTTGTGTGTGAATTTCATAACTGAGCGCTCGATTTATCATGTTGGTAGAATGTTACTGCTCTTCTTTTACCTAGCTACTAGATGACCCATTGCACCGATGGTGCAAAGGGCGAGGGCAAGCAAAGCATTCGTAGCATGCACGTTAGAATATTTCGATATCGATCGAGTCATAAGGAAATAGATATTTAGGTCAGGAGTTGATAGGTACCCAAAGAGGGTCTCCCTGATTTCATTAAAACCAGAAGCCAAAAAGCTCCACTAGTACAATTTGAGTAACATCCTAGACCTCCATAGTCATTTCATGAACTTCCACCACGACGCACAGCGGCAACCACATGTCTAGGATGACTATTGGTCTTGGTTCCATCGACAAGTTCTTCTTCCCATTCCCCTCTCCATGTACTCATACCAAAGTGAAGGGAGAAAGTACCTAGAGGAGGCCGACAAGGGCACCTTGGGCTCCATCTTTAAGGCGGCCCTTGTTGCAGCTTGGCGGTGGAGCAGCTCCCACTACAGCTCGAAGGCACTGCGGCTCCATCTGCATCTCACTACTAGAAAAGGGTGCTACCCCGACGGCCAGAACAATGCCGACATCCACCATTGGCCTATTTGGAGCTATGCCGACAGCCAAGTCCTGGCCATCGGCGTAACCAAGCCGTCGGGCTACCACAATCTAAACCGACGGCACCCGTCGGCACAGAACGGCCGTGGGCCTAGCTACGTGCACGCCGACAGCGGCCATCGGCATACTCGTGGGCTCGGTGACGCTGCCCGCGACGGGCGGCTAACGCCATCAGAGCTATGCCGATGGTCAAGACGGGCGGCCGTCAGCATAGGTCCACATGACACATCACCGATCCGCGGCGCACCATCCAGCACGTATGCCGACGGCTGCCGACGGCATATCCGCCACGTCAGCGATCCGCGGCATGCCGCCGCCTAAACCTGGCCGTCTCTATGCCGACGGCATAGTTAGATTTCTTTTTCATATATATTTTTTATGTATTATGTCATACAGTGTGGTGAAATGTCTAAAGAGGCGGCATGCGGCTCCGGGGTGTGCCCTCCTCACGGACGGCGCCACCGCCGGCACCTGGAGGGGAGAAACGGACGCGTCGGGTCTACACGAAGGGGATGTAGCTGTGGGGCCCGGATGTTGCTCCCAGGTGTCCCTCTGGGCTGACGTGACACAAGCGGGTGGAGAGGTCTACTGGTCAAAGCCCGTCCGTGGGAAGTCAAAGGGCTAGATCTTGTGGTCAACCGCTCCAGGGTTAGGCGGGACGGGGGCCCTGGGGGGTAGCAATGCCACCGGAGCATCGCACCGGCCCCTCATACATGCGGGGTGGTGTTGTGGCGTGTCCAAAAAGGCGGCACGCATCTCCGGGGCATGGCCCCCCTCACGGAAGGCGGCGCCGCCGGCATGTGGAGGGGGAAAAGGACGCGTCGGTTCTACACGGAGGGGATGCAGCTGTGGGCTTGGCCCGGATGTTGCACCCAGGTGTCCCTATGGGCTGACCTGACACAACCGGGTGGAGAGGTCCACTAGTCAAAGCCCGTCCGTGGGAAGTCAAAGGGCTAGATCTCGTGGTCAACCTTTCCAGGGTTAGGCGGGACGGGGCTCTGGGGTAGCAATTGTTGGAAATATGCCCTAGAGGCAATAATAAATTGGTTATTATTATATTTCCTTGTTCATGATAATCGTTTATTATCCATGCTAGAATTGTATTGATAGGAAACTCAGATACATGTGTGGATACATAGACAACACCATGTCCCTAGTAAGCCTCTAGTTGACTAGCTCGTTGATCAATAGATGGTTACAGTTTCCTGACCATGGACATTGGATGTCGTTGATAACGGGATCACATCATTAGGAGAATGATGTGATGGACAAGACCCAATCCTAAGCCTAGCACAAAGATCGTGTAGTTCGTATGCTAAAGCTTTTCTAATGTCAAGTATCATTTCCTTAGACCATGAGATTGTGCAACACCCAGATACCGTAGGAATACTTTGGGTGTGCCAAACGTCACAACGTAACTGTGTGGCTATAAAGGTACACTACAGGTATCTTCGAAAGTGTCTGTTGGGTTGGCACAAATCGATACTGGGATTTGTCACTTCGTGTAAACAGAGAGGTATCTCTGGGCCCACTCGGTAGGACATCATCATAATGTGCACAATGTGATCAAGGAGTTGATCACGGGATGATGTGTTACGGAACGAGTAAAGAGACTTGCTGGTAACGAGATTGAACAAGGTATCAGGATACCGATGATCGAATCTCGGGCAAGTATCGTACCGCTAGACAAGGGAATTGTATACGGGATTGATTAAGTCCTTGACATCGTGGTTCATCTGATGAGATCATCGTGGAACATGTGGGAGCCAACATGGGTATCCAGATCCTGCTGTTGGTTATTGACCAGAGAGTTATCTCGATCATGTCTGCATGGTTCCCGAACCCGTAGGGTCTACACACTTAAGGTTCGATGACGCTAGGGTTATAGGGAATAGATATACGTGGTTACCGAATGTTTTTCGGAGTCCCGAATGAGATCCTGGATGTCACGAGGAGTTCCGAAATGGTCCGGAGGTAAAGATTTATATATGGGAAGTCCTGTTTTGGACACCGGAAAAGTTTTGGGGTTTATCGGTAACGTACCGGGACCACCGGGAGGGTCCCGGGGGTCCACCAAGTGGGGCCACAAGCCCCGGAGGGCTGCATGGGCCAAGTGTGGGAGGGGACCAGCCCCAGGTGGGCTGGTGCCCCCCCCCCCACAAGGGCCCAAGGCGCCTAAGGGGAGGAGGGGGGGCAAACCCTAAGGGCAGATGGGCCTTAGGGCCCATGCCTGGTGTGCCTCCCTCTCCCCTCCACCTGGCCGCCACCCAGATGGGATCTGGGGGCTGCCGCCACCCCTAGGGAGGGAACCCTAGGTAGGGGCGCAGCCCCTCCCTCCCCCTATATATACTTGAGGTTTGGGCTGCCCAAGACACACGAGTTCCTCTCCTTCTTGGTGCAGCCCTACCCCTCTCCCTCCTCGTCTCTTGCGGTGCTTGGCGAAGCCCTGCTGGAGTACCACGCTCCTCCACCACCACCATGCTGTTGTGCTGCTGCTGGATGGAGTCTTCCTCAACCTCTCCTTCTCTCCTTGCTGGATCAAGGCATGGGAGATGTCACCGGGCTGTACGTGTGTTGAACGCGGAGGTGCCGTCCGTTCGGCACTAGGATCTCCGGTGATTTGGATCACGACGAGTACGACTCCTTCAACCCCGTTCTCTTGAACGCTTCCGCTTAGAGATCTACAAGGGTATGTAGATGCACTCTCCTTCCCCTCGTTGCTGGTCTCTCCATAGATAGATCTTGGTGACACGTAGGAAAATTTTGAATTTCTGCTACGTTCCCCAATAGTGGCATCATGACCTAGGTCTATGCGTAGTTTCTATGCACGAGTAGAACACATAGTAGTTGTGGGCATTGATTTTGTTTAATATGCTTACCGTTACTAGTCCAATCTTGATTCGGCGGCATCGTGGGATGAAGCAGACCGGACTGACCTTACACGTACTCTTACGTGAGACTGGTTCCACCGACTGACATGCACTAGTTGCATAAGGTGGCTAGCGGGTGTCTGTCTCTCCTACTTTAGTCGGATCAGATTCGATGAAAAGGGTTCTTATGAAGGGTAAATAGCAATTGGCATATCACGTTGTGGTTTTTGCGTAGGTAAGAAACGTTCTTGCTAGAAACCCATAGCAGCCACGTAAAACATGCAAACAACAATTAGAGGACGTCTAACTTGTTTTTGCAGGGTATGCTATGTGATGTGATATGGCCAAGAAGAATGTGATGAATGATATGTGATGTATGAGATTGATCATGTTCTTGTAATAGGAATCACGACTTGCATGTCGATGAGTATGACAACCGGCAGGAGCCATAGGAGTTGTCTTTATTTATTGTATGACCTGCGTGTCACTGAACAACGCCATATAATTACTTTACTTTATTGCTAACCGGTAGACATAGTAGTAGAAGTAATAAGTTGGCGAGACAACTTCATGGAGACACGATGATGGAGATCATGGTGTCATGCCGGTGACAAGATGATCATGGAGCCCCAAGATGGAGATCAAAGGAGCTATATGATATTGGCCATATCATGTCACTATTTTTTGATTGCATGTGATGTTTATCATGTTTTTGCATCTTATTTGCTTAGAACGACGGTAGCTTAAATAAGATGATCCCTCACTAAAATTTCAAGAGAAGTGTTCTCCCTAACTATGCACCATTGCGAAAGTTTGTCGTTTCGAAGCACCACGTGATGATCGGGTGTGATAGATTCTTACGTTCGAATACAATGGGTGTTGACGAGCCTAGCATGTACAGACATGGCCTCGGAACACATGCGAAACACTTAGGTTAACTTGACGAGCCTAGCATGTACAGACATGGCCTCGGAACACGGAGGACCGAAAGGTCGAACATGAGTCGTATAGAAGATGCGATCAACATGAGATATTCACCGATGATGACTAGTCCGTCTCACGTGATGATCGGACACGGCCTAGTTGATTCGGATCATGTATCACTTAGATGACTAGAGGGATGTCTATCTGAGTGGGAGTTCATAAGATGAACTTAATTATC